CCTTAAAAGATGTACAGCGGCTGCCAAAACAAATCACTGCCTTCTAGATAACTGTCTTTATTATGTTGTCTCTTCAGAAGGGGTACCCTGCAGGAACTTGTTGAAAGTGAAAGTGAAATTGAAACTTAGAGCTAAGCTGATGAGTTAATGAATTCATAAGACGACGCTAGGGGCCTAAAATGTCTCAGATATGTGGTCACATGTCTAGTTCGTGTTGCTTTTGCTTGCCTGTCAAAACACGGGTCACTTAGCTGGCAGGTGGCAGGCTATTGTGAACTCTGGAAAACCAGACCCTGCAGTACTGATGAAAATTGGTAGAAGATTAAAAAGCAGTTGACTACAATCTCTGCCCACTGTGCTGAAATGCCAAGTGCTGCTGAGAGCAGGAGCGCAGACTATTGCATCACCTCCTGTGCAAAAACCTTGCTTTAATGAGGGTGTATTAACACTGCATGGTTTAATAGGGAGAATAGATCTTGCTTGTCCAACTCCCCATAGACTGCCAGTCATTGTGAGTCCACAGAAGTGGCATTTATATCCAGTGATTACAAAGCTGTTGGCTGAAGAGTCATTTGCTTATAAAGGGCATTTATTACGCAGGAAATAATTTTCGATTATTGATTCTTTTTATGTCATGAAACATTAATGTTTTTAGTCTAATTACAACTGATGCTCATCCTCATATACTGTAACGTATATTATGCACAACATTCATCACTACCAAACCTATAGCTTTGCCTATGCCTATTTCTGTCAAGCCACATTAGCCTCAGGAGGAAGGCGGTAAAGACAGAGGTGGTTAATGTTCTGCACCTGCACCTGCCGGGATACTAGCTGAGGCTTCTCTTCGACAGCCAGTTAAAATTGTACCAGAAATGAACAGTAAAGATTTACTGGAGCGCAAAGCCATATCCAGTGAACCAGGAAATGGTGCCGGGGTTCTTGCCATCATATAATTTTTCCTGAACATTCAGTGAGATGACAGGTAGAGACAGAGGAAAAGAGGCTGTGCAACAGTGTGCTTGACTGGTGATGAATTCTGTAGAGTGTGAAAACACTTTCCGTCTATTGAAAACTAGTGTCATGCTGTAATGTTTGTGAAGGGTCTTGTCGAGACAAATGAGAAAGGTTGGTGCTACAAAGGATGGGTTCGACAGTTTCCAGTCTGATAGCTCGGCAGCTGTGAAACGTGATTATTCAACCACAAAACAAATTCAGCGTTCCATTTAATTTTTAAATTCTTGAACAAATATTTTTCACTGAATCCACTGAACCAGGGAAGGGATTAGTAAAGGAATGTTATATTTAAGAGCGATCGAAATGAACCTGTAATGTGTACTTTGAATGTCCAGTAATTACTGAGGGTTGAGAGATTTAACTTTTTTTGCTCACATCAGTTTTCTCCTCCATTCGACCCCCAAGAGGTAGAGTTTTCTCTCTGTGTAAGCCCTGCACGTCTTCACAAGGGTACGGCAACATTTGACTCACAAAATTGTCTCGCTTTTAAAAGCAATACCTTCACCATCCAATGCTGAAAAACTCAGACACTCAAAAACTGTGAGAGAGAGCAAGAGATGCCTCAGGATTTAAATATACATGCCGCAGCGTTAAATCCCCGGGGATAGTGTAAAGAATCCAAAAGTGCTCGGATAAACAAAAATGATTGAGCGTGTCTGCAAATGCACCCACATTTTAAATCCTCATCGTATTAAAGATGATGTTACGTAGCTCCCAAAGCTTTGTTTAATATTCATGAAGTGCTCAACACCTTGGGAGCTCCGCACAATCTAGAGTAAAAAGAAATATTGTTATGAAGCCTGGTAAACAGAGCATTGAAGAAAGAGTGGAAAACCCCCATTTATCACACACCCACTGTCATTTCCTCATCCTTTTTAAACTAGCAGCATGAGCTGCAATAGAGTTCAAGAAGCCAGGGGATAATGGACTAAGGTGGTTTCCATGGACAAGAAAGTCAAAATGGCAATGACCACCAAGGATGGTCAGACACATGGACTGTCATTCTAATATGTAAAATAAAGGCACGTTTTTCATCCAGTGAAAAACTAAACACAGTCCTTTGATTGTGATGTTATTACATTGACAAAATCAGTCAACCTAGAGATTTAAACACCTGACAAAAGCTTCAAAGCCACATTTACCAGGATTTTTTATTTTTGCCTTGATGACGCACACGCAGACACAACTTGAAAACAATAATGCTATTCTTTTATGGCTGGCAAAGATAAAGACCTAAACACCACACAGCAGAAGCAAGATAAGAACTAAGAGGGCAAACAGCTGTCTTGAATCCGTTTGATCTGATTGACACGGCTGGGAGGAACCTGTGGAAAAGGCAGCGCTGAGGAGCACGCTAACAAAGCCACTTTGCTTAAATGTATCACTGGCTGATTACCTTTAGAGATTATATATACTGGTAGTGATTCAGGGGTTATCTAAAAGTGATGTAACACCATATTTGAATGTTGGTAAAGTGCTTGGCACTGATGCGTTATATTTCTGTAACAGAAAACGAGTAGGAAAGCTGGGGAACTTACATTTAGGAATTTCCTGTTCCTGTACAACAGCTGATGCACACTGCACAATATTCAGTTTTATTGATTGTTTCAGCTTTACTGGCACAGTATCACTGAGTAGGTGGAACTAGAATATGAGATGGAGTCAGGACAAATCAGTCAAAGTGAGATGGAACTACTGTCTTTTTGTGCTTATTATTTTAAAAATGAAAATGTGAAAGCAATTTACCTGGCAGTTGTGCAAATTGCTGTACTTTTTCCTTCATAAATATCTATCCACATAAGAAAGGCGTAAAGGTAATTTTCTTTTGAAGGTAACTACAAAAAAGCAAGCATTTAAATATAATTAATGGTCTGAACATAATTAAATTTAAGTATTCAAGTATTGTGCATTACAATCTCTGTTGATTATGATAGTTTGCTCATAAGGAGAAACAGGCTCCCTTTCTAAAAGCAGCAGGTAAAAAAGAAGGAACTGAATGTGTCAAAGTGAAGTGAATAAATAATGGATGTCATGACGCTTCTGTGGAAGCTGTTGGCTTTGAAATCCACTCCCTGGTTGAGTCACACTCCCAGTTCGCTCCCTTCATTTTACATTTAACGGGCCCATCATCTCAAACGCGCGCACAGGCACAAGCACACACAGGCATTTTCTCCTCATCTCTAGCTGGGGCTGTCTGAGGCAGTTAGTGCTAGAGAGGTGCTGATCTCACAGCTACCAGGCAGGTGTTGTGTCCATCTTAGAGGCTAACGTCTGCATACATCAGCTTCAATTTCACCCTCGATTCTCGGGGCTTGTGAGCCAAGCTTACAGCCACAGGAGGAGACCAGAAGGCACCATCAGCCAAGAGCAAGAATAAATAGCTATATGAGCCTCTTTCGACCAGCTGGTGCATTGTGAAAATGGCAGGGTTTCTCAAAGACCTCTAAGGTTAACTGGTTTTCTTTTGTAGCGGCAAAATTATATCTAAGCTCCTTAAATGGTGCTGTCTGCTCATGCTCATATTTCGAGGGAAAAGGGCTTTAAGCTGTGGATGTCCCAAATGTCTTAACAGCAAATAAATCATTTTCCAGTATTACTGACACCAGGAGATGACAGAAGGTGCCTTGGTATTAAATACCTCATTAAAGTTGAAGCGGACGAAATTGATTTTACGTCCCCACATGACTCTATTACAACTCATACAATAAGGAGTGATCAAAAATAACAGTTTAAATGTGCTCAAACTTTAATTTAAAGAAAAATATTCCACCCTCTGCAGAAAATTTAAAATGCATGCTGTGAGCTCCACGTGTCAGGCTCTCGCGCAGATGGATCAAAGTAAGAGGGATAAAGGGCTCCCTTGCCTTTGATAATAATTAATTACACACTCGAGCAAAAACAAAAACAAATGCATGTGTGAAGCTAAATGTGAAGGGATTATACCTCTCAGAGTAATGCAGTGGCCTCTTAGCACCATATCGTAATTTTCTTACTTTGCATTGTGCGCTTGTTTGTTGCTGAATCAAGTAAAATAAGAGCAGAATTGACTTTTTGGAGCAGATGGAAGATGTCCTCTTAATATGAAAAGCCCTGTGAAATATTAAAAGCGTTCGTGTCTTCAGCATGAAGGGGTGCATTTCTTGCTATTTCTGTTATTGTTAAAAAAAAAAATATGGTAGCCTATATCATTGAAAACAGAACAGAATGTTCTTGTCTCTATGTCTCCAATATCAGAGCGTCGTCCTTCAGCTCTAATGTGACTCATCTGGCTGTCAAACTGGGAAGGAAAGAAGACTGGCTAAAGGCCACTTGTCTCTTCACTGAGCCCAGACTGCGTTTGTTCTGTCAGCCCTGGACAGCTCAACACAGGCTCACATGCCACCTCTGTGTCATGTGTAGGTCAATCTAAAAGCACAGTCAGAAACACTGACATGATCACTAATGCAGACCATACGAACACAAAAATATTACAGAAAAATATTACAAAAACGTAGTTTCTTTGCAGTTTTCTGAGACAGTTAATAGCATGCTAGCTGGCATCACCCAGCTAGTAACAAAGCCTGTATACAAGCTTGTATGCAGAGTGTTTTATCAGTGTAAACAATGATCAAACATTACTCTTAGTGCATAAAGGAAACACTTATAGCATTTTTTTAAAGCACCATTAATGTTAACGCCCTCCTAACTTGGACGTTTCTCAAAGTGGAACTACTTTTATTCCTTTAACTTCAAGGGTTAGCAAGGATACCCAGTTTAAAAACACACCAAACACCCTCAGCATACATAAAACACTTAGCATGAAACAATTAAATCCCACCTTTTCAACCGCCACGTTAAATATACATTAATATGTTTACTGAGGGCAATTATCTAACCTGTGTAGATGAAATGAGTGAGGAGGGTGTCCAAAAATGGGGGTGTGGGATAAACTTAAAACGACAGTAAGGGCTCTGTCAGATCCCTCCGCCTAATTGACTGTCCCGGTGTGAGCCGCCTCACCTGTTTACACGCTGCTTCTCCCTCCGCCCGCGCTGGCCGCATCATCTCCTCCCTCTCACAGCCGAGCGGGTCTCCGAGTCTCTGTCCTCCAGCTCCAGCTGTATGTCTGCAAGGGCTGCTCTGCGCCGGTGGGGATATATCGTTACCGATGCTCTCCATCTAACGTGAAAATTTCATACAACTGTTTTAAATACCGGCCGAAGCAATGGGAGCTTTCGGAGTGATAATGGGGCTTTTACAGTACGCGGGACTTTACATTCAACTTAACGCAGCTCTCAACGACGGACACGGAGAGGTGGATAATCACATCTCTGGGAACGGTAAGTTGTGTTAATGAGTGTGTTTGTTGGAGTGGGAGAGTGAAGCTCTCATTGCATTGACTCTTAAGTGTTTGGGTGGGGTTTAGTGAACAACAACGTTTGATGTCAGTGATTAGTTCATATACATTACGGATGGGGTGTGTGGGGCTAAATTAAACAATGAGTTGTGCACTTTCATCATGTTTTATTGTGTTTACACCAACGTGCTCGACCATGTTTGAGCATTTTAATATCCCTGTATATGAAGCTTGTTTTTCATTACTCATTAAAAGCGCAAACACACACACACACACACACACACACACACACACACACACACACACACACACACACGCACACTTAGGTTAACAACAAGCAGGGGCAGGACAAAGGCTTTTGAAGCCAGGCAGGTGTTTCATCATAATGTCTTCTTACTAAAGTGTCTTCAAAATGTTTGTGTGTATAATTATTGTAGCACACACAAACACACACTCACAAAATAGATGCTGCAACTTTGGTAAATGTTTACATATCCTTAAATGTCAGCGGAAAATAAACATTTTTAATGTTTTTTTTTAATATCAGAGAAAATGTGAGACTAGTATAAACTGTAATAAAGTCAGTCATCTTTCATTTCTTCATTTCTTAACCATGCATTGCTCTTTGGTCTGACAAGTACATTTTTTTTGTTAAATTTTAATTTACACATAACTGACTCAGGTCTTTCCCCAAGGCACAACACCCCCAACCAAACGTCTTGTTTTTAGTAATTTCATACAGTATTCCTAATTATTTTAGGTAATGTCTTTTTTCCCAAGTCAATAGGTGATGGTAGAGACAGAGGGACAGAAAATATGAGGAGAGATTGGATGGGATGGTGTGCAGTGTAGGGCACCCTTCGAAAATCAGTTTTGCAGTGAGATGGTAGCCTGCCCATTACTGGGACCACTACAGTGGTGTATTAATGTTTCATTTTAAGACAGTTTAGAAAATCTGTGTCTCTGAAAACTTTATTTTGAGTTGTATTTCATCAAAAAGTATAAAATAATAATGCTAATTAATATTGCTAAACAAGAACTGTAGAGTTATGAAAAAGTAGATATGAATTACAAATCCAACAGCACACTGTGTGAGCTGTTCAAATTGACAAGGTTTACCAGAGTAGTTCAACATACGGAAAATTAAACCCAGGGTGGACTGAAGATTTAGTCTGATGTACAACAAAATAAAATCTAACACTATAAAGTAAAACACAAGTGCAAAAGGATGTGCACATTATGTGTTTTAAAGGACAAAATACAGCTTTAGTATTCACCCAGAGGAGAATGAAGTTCTTGTACTGTGCTGTGTGCATTTTATGGATGTGGGTAGAGGCTTGAGATGCCCTGTTACTCAAGTAACTTGCCATATTTCATACTTAGAACTGGCTAAAAAATTGTAAGTTTGCAGTCGTCCGGTTGTCCTTCTAGGTTGGTATTTCACAGAATAACACATGACTTATTGTAGTTTCACTGGGATTGCTGTACTGTACCTGTGCTAACATAAAAATGGTATGTAAAAGCCTACATTAAAATTCCCTTCCCTTTAGATAAGTGTCTACCCTTGCACCGTCAACAGCAGGATCTGTTGGGCAACGATAAAACCTACTTCAGACTGAAACATTTAATGTTTACCTGCACGTTTGAATGGATATTTTCAGGTCATAGTCACTGAAACCACTGTTTCATTATTTGTTATATTTTATTTTACCAGCTCTAATAATTTATTTCAATGTGAAAAACAACTGATTTCGTTTTCTGTGGTTCATACATTGTGAAATTTTGAACAGAATTATCATTTATAGCTAATAGCAATCTCACCTTTCTCCTGCACCTCCTAACCTTACTGTTACATAATTAAATTGCGTGGTTTGCCTTCAGCTTGCTGTGTTTAGCATTTTAGCTTTGACTTGACAAACTATAAATTCTGCAGCGGCGTCACAAGGATGGACTGTACTGGACAGGTTAGAAAATCAGCAGCATTTTTCCCAAAGGAAGCAAATTAAAATCGACTGTAGTGTTGCCATTAATACTGTTTCCCAGGCAAAAAAAAGAAGGAACGCCTCCGTGTGTTTAACAAGAATGAAAAACTATGTTGAGAAAACAACCTAGAAGCTTTCTACTGTCATATTTGTACAACATCAGCTTCACCACCAGAAAACAGAGTTGTACTATCCTTTGTGGTTAGATAAGATTTTTTTTTCTTTTCTTTGTAATCAGACTCTTTGATAAATGGCGCAAGCAGAGGGAAGCCGAGCCTTCATGCAGAGCAGAGAGGCTGGATGCACAGTTCTGGAGAGTGCTTGTTAGATTTAGCCCTGACTCATTTGTTTCAGATAAGTGCATCTGGCCCTTGCACCCCAGTTTCCACTTGAGCTGAAGTGTAGATTGAATCACCTGCAACGCAAAATTATATGTTCTGTCTGAAGACAAACACGTTCAATGGATCAGTAGCTTCACCCCATTGTATGCCACATGCATCAGAATAAGACTCTTACCTGCCATAAGTACTTGAAGGTCAAGTGTCAGCAGTAAGGAAAGCGACAGAAGCTGTAATAAGTGATGTTATGCATGGGGGAGGTCTCGGGGGTAACTTATAACAGGAAGTGATGATAATGATGATGGGAGACATGTTGGAAGCCTTTCAATTTTAGCATAAGATGTTGCAGTGTTAGTGTTCTTTGGCAATGCTCATCCTGCTCTGTGAGTGCACTACCTTCACAGTGTGGGGGCGTGTACCAATTCATTAGGCTTCCAAAGTGGCTAGGATCCTCACCCAGTCCTCTGCTTGGTGTCCTCTTAATGAGGACAGCCAGCTCAGTCAGTTTGCATTGGCTTTTAATTTGATGGAGCTCTGACAGTGCAGGAGGTGGGGGGCAACAGATTGCACAGTCATGCTGTCACAGCAGAGGGTGCTGGTGGAGGCTTGGTAGGAAACAGAAGGGCAGTGAAACAAGAGTGTGTGTAACACAACGTGACTTGAAGTGATGACTGGTGATACAGAAATCTCCTCTGATCTGTAAGAAAAAAAATATCAATCAGTTGTCTTGATATTTCTGTGAAACCTACCTGACTTTACGGACATTCAAGTCAAACAAAAATTAAGCTTTGAACAATCGACTTTCAGTACTTGTAGCTACATTAAAATATCATATTTTATTTAATAAATTAAGACTATTAATAAAAATTTAAATATAACAAAGAATTTCTCATGGAAAAAAAAGCAGTTGGGATTGTTTTAATTATAGATTCATCTGCTGCTAATTTTCCTCCAATAACCGACTGTGATTTGCCCAATTAAATGCTAACAACAGTGAAAAGGTTCATTACGATGACAAGAGATTGATCATTTTACCTGATGCCTTTGGCATATGAAAAATTGTCTGTGAAGTAGGTGATGTTCGTAACACTGAACAACACTTGAGGAGGAATTACGAGAGTTCAGAAAAGCTCCGTTTTCAACAACATTAAGCAGTGAACAGTTGTCATTATCTTAACTGGTGTGTATATTAACATGAGCTGCTTCACTATTAGCAATAACTCGACAGCCACAAATCCAGCCACAGGGGGTCACCAGCTAGTGCATTCCCAGAGCTGGTCCCAAGCCTTGATTATTGGGAGTGTTGCATCAGGAAGTGCATCCAGTGCTTTGCCAAATGAAACATGCATCCACAGTGGCGACACCTGTGGAAACATTTTTTGGTACTATTTTAGGTCATCTTAAAATATTTGACGTGTATATTTTAAGAACCAAAATGAACAAAATACTTCTATTTTATATTTAAATACTTCTCTTCATTGGCCTACTATTATGTCTTGAATTGGTTTTATAATGTTATTGTTGACTGGCACCAGTGTATATTTCCGATCTCCTGAAATTGTACACTCCTGGTCTAACCTGAGGTCCTCAGCGAAGGCTAGTTACCCCACAATTTCCCTGAGAAGACCTGAATGGCTCACTTTTGTCTTTTAAATCTCTTAAAGACGCATTTTCATAAGTAGGCTTTCTCTGATCCTCCATTCTGAGTTATTTCTATGTTGTCCTTTGTAATTGCTTTATCACCTTCTGCTAGGGATTTTTAATTTATTTTATATTTGCTTTTAATTTACTTGTTTTTTAATTTTAATTGTCTTCATTCATCGCTTTTAATCTCCCTGTGCTGCCTGTATTGTTATACCTAATGTTTCATCTTTATCTCCTCTTAAATGTTTTATATGCTGTTTATTTCCTGTCTTGTCTCGTGAAGTACTTCCTAATGTTGTTTTTTAAAGGTGCTATATTAATAAAGTTGTATTATTATTATTATTACCAGCAAAAATCTGTGCTGCAGACAGTTATTCTTTGCTTTGCTCATGCATTACAACACAGACATGAATGTAAATTTGTCATGTTATTCTTTTTTATGTTCGTTATATCACTGTATCTAGTCAGATGGCCAAAACAGCTTTTCATAAACACCAAACAAAAAATACATGTATTTCTTCTTCTTTGCAAGCTATATATTAAGACAACTGAATCACATTATTAGCTTGATCATTTTAATGAACACTTATTTACAGTTGTGCATGAGAAAAGTTACCCCAATATGCACCTGCAAAATGTATTTTCATCCAGCCACATACACGTAATGTTGGCATTGATTTTGAGAACAGCTACTACACATAATATATCATTTGTAAGGATTTGAGTGCTATAAAAATCATTTGTGTGTAGGAGCAGTTTGGGAACAGGAATGCATCGTTATAGTAAGATGATGATGATGATAATTATTTACTATTTTTATTATTAATAATACATTTAAAGCTTGCAATTATCAGTCAACTTAAACTAGTATTATCACTGATGTTATTCTTTCCATCGTTCTAATCCTTACTTTTTTTAAAAAGGGCTCTTAATTTTTTGGGATTTTTTTTTTGTCCCTGTTCTATCAAGTATTTTCCTGGGTTGCTTTAAATATTAGTATTGTGACAATCCCAGTGTAC